GTCTGGACCGGGCGTCGGCTTAACCCAGAAAAAAAGTTCAAAAACTTTAAAAAGTATTGTTATGCAGCATGATAATACAAACAACTTTTGCCTGGGAGTCATCTCCGAATTCCCAACCAAACTCGAGTTGCTTTTAATTTTTACTCGAGTTTGGTTGGGAATTCTGACATCGCTCCCAGCCAAAAATTGTTTGTACCTGGGCTACCAGACCCGCACAGGCCCGGGCGCCCGGCTGGGCAGCCGGGCCAGTGCGACTAGGACCCTCTTGCCTGGGTCACCCGGGCGAGGAAAAAAAACAGTCAAAACTTTTTTTTTTGGTCCCCTGACGATGGGGCATTTTTGCGCCCTCTGAGAGGGACCCAAATCCGGTCTTATATTTTTTATGGGTTCATGTCGGTTGGGGGGGGAGGTTAAGGGCCTTATAGGGGCTTGAAAGGGGTTGACAGGCCTTTAAAGGGTGTGAGATGATTTTCCTTACATTATTTTAGTTTTATTTTTGTGAAGAATATGGAAGTGACCCCCAGCCAAAAGTTGTTTGGTTTGCTACTCTGCACAGCATACTTTTTAAAAGTTTTTTTCAAAAAGAATTGTTTTTTTTCTTTTTTCTAATCTCTTGGTGGGATATAAGCCGGGACCCCACCCAGCCCAGTTGCCCGGCCAGTCGTCCCAGGCAGGTCCCGTGCCAGCTTTGGGGACCAAGGCGGCACGGCTGGTAGCGCAGGTTTGTACTATTATGCTGCATAACATATGTTTGTTTCAGAATCTTTTCATTTTTTCTGTTTGTTTCTCTATTCTTTTTTTTCATGAAGTTTGTTGTTTTTGGGCCTCGCTGCACTACTCTTGAATCTTGAAAAATCAAGAGTTCATCACCGCTGTACTAACTCTTGATGCCGCTTCCTGGATTTCTATTCAAGAGCTGTCAGATTCACTCTCGAAAACGTCGAGAGTGAGTCATCGCTGCACTAACCGTGGAAAACTGCTCTTTGGTCCGGCGCTTCAAGAGGTGTCAGAAATGGCCCACCGGATGAGCTCTTGAAGTTTCAACAGTTCCCGCCTGCAGGAGCTTTTTTTCCAAACGTGGCCGACGGGTCCCTTCATGCGGTTTGCAAATTCTAGAGTTGTCCTCCGGTCTCGGTGGACAAATTGTCGCTGCCCTGTCGTGTGGCGTCTGTCCGACAGTGAAGAAAGCTCACGAGAGTCGAGAGTCTGGAGTAAGTGCAGCAACTACAGCACTTGATGCCAATCCAGGAATCTGACAGCACTAGACGAACTCTCAAAATTTTCACGTGTCTAGCGTAGTGCAGTGAGGCCCTTTAACTCGGGTTTGGTTGAGAATTTCTAGACGACGCTCGGGCAAAAGTTGTTTGCATTTTTTTTTTATTTTTTTTTTTCAATTTCTATACTCTTCTCTCAACTTCTGTTTCTTTACCTTCCACTACCTACTCCTAAGACTATCTGCAAGCATAGTTTCCTCTCTCTGTGAAGGGGAGATTTCATGTTGCCCCTTGCCCCTAATGGTTAGGGTATAGGGTTGGGGCCGCCAGTGGGGGTCTGGCTAACACAAAGACCGAGACCTGCCATTAGCTGTGCCTCCCTTTCTCATCGTCCCCCACCCTTCATCGAGTAGCAGCAGTGGCTATGGCCAACACTCTCCCACACACCACACACAACCCACTCGCGCTCACACTCACACCCGTGTTGGTCATAGACCCCGCTAATACCGATCAGGGGTATCCAGAGGACTATCACAGTCCGTTGGCACTAAGTACGCCGCAGGCGGCCATGGGGCTTGAACCCACAACCTCCTGAATGCCACTTGCATGCCTAACCAACTGAGCTAGCCCCATAACATTTTAGGTTTTTTATTTTTTTTCGTGTAGCGCAGGTTTGTACTATTATGATGCATAACATATGTTTGCTTCAGAATCTTTTGATTTTTCTGTTTTTTTCTCTAATCTTTTTTTTCATGAAGTTTGTTGATTTTAACTCGGGTTTGGTAGAAAATTTCTAGATGACTCTCGGGCAAAAGTTGTTTGTATTTTTATGCTGCATAAGATACTGCAAGGAAGATGAGTGATAGCGAATTCCAACAATCAAACAGCATCATACATATGAGTCCAGATAGTCTTGACCTCGAACCAAACGCAGAATTGCATCACGAGATACACCAAATAAGAACACACCAAGAGTTCATCATTGACAATGCTGAAGTAGTCCCATCATCATCAGCGAAGAACCAGAGTTGATATCCTATTGGCGCTCGGCGCCCAGACTACATATGGCAGATCCTATCTAGCCTATACTACGAAGCARAATGATGACATCAACAGCGTTCCCRGAGTACAAGCATATGGCGACCAATGTCGCACGCTTCAGCACCAGGTATGTCTTGCGCTACCCTCACAACCTCGTTCCCCAACTCACAGATGCCACTAGCACCCAAGGACCACCCTGCCCTTCACCCAGMATACAGCAGCGCAGCTCGGCTATGGCTGCGTGCTCCTTCCCTGCTCACCCGTGAGAGCGTAGGCGCCAGCCAGCAAATAGCGCAGCAGCAGCGCTTGCGCAGCATGCAGCCAGCACCCGAATGCCGAACGAGGAGGMRGGCCCTTCCCTATATCGAAGTGGCCTGCCTGCGTCCAGTCCAGGAAGCTTCCAGTAGGCCCCGGCAGCCTGAGGCCCAGTCATGAGGAAAACAGGCCTTGGGCCGGAAGTGGTTGCATGTGCCCAACTGCTTTCGGCCTGTGTTTGGCCAGGTACCCGTATCCAGCCCAGGGCCTGCTTCACGTACATTCACACAGGCGGCCCAGGGCCTGGGTTCACTCAACCAACTGGCGCTGCGCAACTGCCTGAATTTCCCTGAGTTGCKTAGTGGCCAGAAAAGGGCCCTGAGGGCCTCGTCGAGCCTGCCTTCACTTAGGGCGGCCGACGGGCTGTGATAGTGGGCCCTTATGGGGCTCTAGAGGCAGTGGCCTCGCATTCCCTCCTCCATAGCTTCAACAGTCCTCTGAGAAGCTCAATCCTGAGCAATCTGGCGCTTTCCTTTCGATACATCCTTCTCATAGCGGGCAACGATTTGAGGAGCGGTCTGCATCAATTCCTCCCGAGTAAACCAGCGGTCCTCCTTCGGATCCGTAAGATGTCTGAAGTGGACATTAAACTGCAGCTTTGGCTTTTGGAGGCTTCTGAACAGGCATCTCCCTGTGGTCAACGATATCATCGATGTCGACTTCTCCGTTCATGGTTGGGGGCAGCATTGAGCGACGAGATGGAAACTGGTCAGTCTCTTTGAAAGGTGCCAGCTTGGAGGCGTGAAAGACAGGGTAAGTATGAAGATGACCAGAAATACGGACAACATATGATGGCCCATCCGGATCTGTTCCGGCGATGTCCAAGACTTCCCAAGGTCCAAAGTACTGAGGCATGAGTTTGCGGGATATCCCATACTCCTGCCCCAGTTCTGAAGACTTAACCCAGACTCTGTCCCCAACCTGAAATGTAGAAGGCCGGCGGTGTCTATTTTCGGACTCTATCATCGCTGCTTGTGCCTTCTGCATCTGTTCTACAGCCTGCTGCATTTTCTGTTCATATCTGTGAGCAAACTCTAACGTACCCGGTGCAACAGTTGATTCATGCTCAGGTAGGAGGAAATCAAGGGGTAGTCTCGGCTTGAAAGTCAATTGTAAACTGTTCGGGCTCATCCCAATGGCACTGTGTACTGCATTGTTATACAGACTGGCGACGAGAGCAAGCTTCTCATCCCAGTCCACCTGGTTGGGCTTGATATAGGGCCTCAACAGGTGTTGTACAGCGCGGTTCAGTTGTTCAGCCTGGCCGTTAGCTTCTGGGTGATTCCCAGAAGTCATTTGCAACTGAGTGCCCTGCTCTGTAGCAGCAGCCTTCCACAACTCGCTTGTAAATCTCACATCCCTGTCACTAACAATGGACTTCGGTAGACCAAAGTCTCTGACCCAGTTCTCTTTAAACATTTTAATCACGTACTCCGTCTTTGCTGTTTCCGGCATAGCTACTAACCTAGCATACTTACTAAATCTATCCACGATGACGAAGATGTGACGCATTCCATTCTTGCTGGTGATCAGAGTATCCATGAAATCCATGGACAGACTCTCACCAGGCCGTTCCGGAATTGGAAGGGGCTTCAGCAGCCCAAGAGGAGTTTGAGTACGTGGTTTGTCCCATTGACAAACTTGACAAGTCTCCACGTACAGCTGGGCATCTCGCATCATCGTGGGCCACCAGAATCGCTGCAGCAAGTTGGCTGCGGTCTTCTTATACCCGAAATGACCGGTGGCATCATGACACTCACCTAAAAACAAACTACGCAAAGATTCACTATTGGGAACACACAATCGTTTATTCCCTGCCTTCTCAAGGAACAGCAAGCCATTAACCAACTCAAACTCGACGGACGTCTTCTTGTCCTTCGCCTCAAGTCTGCGTAGGATCTCAGACATAAACTGGTCCTCGCGATAGGCTTCCACCAAAGATTGAGTAACATTGTTCGTAAGACTGAACTCAGTAATCAGCGCACCTGAGAAGTCTGGTCTGCGCGACAGGGCGTCAGCAACCTTGTTATACTCCCCTTTGAGATACTGAGGGCCAAAGTCATATTGCTCAATGACTTCGATCCAACACTTGAGAGCGTCAGAGAGTACCGGCTGGGTTCTCATCCATTTCAGGGTCTGATGATCAGTCCTGAGGATGAAGAACCTCCCAAGGAGATAGTGTCTCCAATGAGTAAGAGCCTTGTACACCGCATAGAGTTCCTTCTCATAAGTGGACTTAGCCAAC